AAAAAAAAAAGAAAAATGGCACAAACATCCTCTGTAACACTTTTTTTTTGGTAGTCAGGACCGTTTTCGGAAACTCTGTTATCAACTAAAAATAAGGGTGTGGGTGTGGGTGTGGGTGTTGTTGTTTTTCAAGAGAGTAGCAACAGCTACATCCACCCACACCCAAATAACTGGTTCTCCTTCAGCTTTCAGAAGGTCATCTTGTGACTTCATAATTTCCTGGTACATTGCTGGATTTTTCAGATGTTTGACGAATACTAAATATTTTTCATCGATACTAATTGTATTATCAGCATATATGTCATACTTGAAACTTGAATTCAGTTAAAGTCAAGTTTTAATTGAAATTTAAAAGTTCAACTTTCAACTTTCAAACGGACAACATTCACACATTTATACATACCCTCATCAGCGCACTTGAAAGTTGAAAGTTGAAATTTCATGTGAATTTAAGTTTCAAGTTTGACACTACTGGCATGCTTGGACAAAAGAGGACTTTTAATAAAAGAAAAAGCAGCATACAGTTTTTGTCCGAAGAAAACTGAAATCCATCAGCAGAACAGTACTATGAATTTGACAAAACTCGTTCGCTATCAATATAGGTTGAATGTGACTTGAAAGAGTAAAAAAAAGAACCAAAACTTCTATTTGTTCATAGAGATTTTTATGCAATTGGTTATGTATGCATTAGAAAACGGGAAAATATTAGAAAAATAGTCTATTCTATTTATCTAGTATCTGACTAACCAGATCCACAGAAATAGAAACGATCAGAACTCATTAAATGTCTTTTTGCTTTTCGTTCGTTTTTTCGGATGACTGAAGATTTGAGTGAACTATTTTTTCATTTTTTTTCAATTTTCAGCAATTCTTCCATGATTTTGATCATTTTTCGAATATCAGTTTCACTTTTCCTATTTACTAGCGTAAAGTAATGCATTAGTTGCAATGATGCTCAGACAGAAGGTTTTTAAGGAATCGTTTAACCTCGTGCTGTCGAAAACGCTGTACTTTTTCCAGTAAAATATGGTCGTCTTCCTGCGTTCTATAGAAAACGTCTTATTTTGCATTGAATAGATTGTATGATCTCTTGCTTTTGGTCATCGGACACTGCTGTTTATTGCCATCGCATTCCATGATATTGGATTTCTTCTAAGCACAAAAAAACTGTTGTCAATATTGACCCATACCAAGCAAACACTCTTGTAATCAGAGAAAGGCGGCGTTTAACGACATCCAGTAATGTGATTGTATAACTCCGTAGTCGTGTGTGCATAAATACTATCGTTTATGGACAAACAAAACTCGTCTACAGCTTTCGCTTTACTCTGTATTTCGTCGTGTATGGCTTGGAAGTACACAATCGTCCAACGTGTGATTGTATACGGAGAAACTCGGAAGGAGAGAAGTTACTTCATTTTGATAGTAAATTAATCAGGCAAGGTAAGGTAGCAGCACACCACGAGATCTGTAATCAACTCAACCGTTTTGAAGAATCAGATATTGTCGGATACAACATGAAAATTTGTATCAGTATATGATAAACAGAAATTTTCAACCTATGACATCATACTATTGAAAGATATCTTATCGACGAAATCCCATCGAATCTGACAGAATTCTATGGTGAGTCTAGCCACCCTTGGAACTTCTTCTCACTTTGACGCATCAGTTACACTACGACTTACTTATCGATTGTTAGATTTACATCACAAGCTTACTAGGGTCGAGAAAAAGGGTCAAGAAAAGTAAGCTTAACATTATCTTTTTACACATCGATTTTAACCAGAAAAACTTGCCCAAATTGTGAGAAAATGACGAGTTCACATGGGAAATATAATTGAGCAATTTTGCTTCTCATTGAAAGCTACAAATATTGTGTCCTAAATAGAAAAATAAGACATCGCTGAAGTTGATCACTAAAATCATATGTTTTAGCCTTCTTAGCTATACAACTGGACTGATCTGCACATCAGTTTGTGTTATGTGATCTTTTTCTATGATATGTTGACATTAATCAATCTATTCCTGGATATTTTCACCAGCAATCTACTTTTTTGTGATAAAAAAAGGAAATAGAGGATGTTTCTGGAAAAAGAGGTTAAAAATGGGAGTTTCAAAAAAATCCATATGAAAACTGATTATAATCTTTTACTGCTTTCGGACAATCAATTGTGATACATTGGCCATTTTTCAAACGATGGAAAATCGGACCAACTTCATCCTCTTTATGGTAATTTAAAGTCAAGAGAATGTGTTTGATGTCCCTCCATATGAAGACTATGTTGTTCGATGCCATCATTGACTTGTAATCTCCTCGTTCCATTTTATTTTTCTTGGCAAGATCCGATGGAAAACCTGTCCAATTCAGTCTGATAGTTTCACAGGCTTTTTTGTTCTGTAGCTTGAGCTTTTCTAATAATCTGAGAGAAGTGAAAAAATGATCGAAAGGTAGATGTTTCCTTTGAAAGTTATAACTAGATATAAGATCGAAAACAACACAGATTGGATCACATAAACACCAAACTTTATAACCTCTTTTTATTGGTTTTAGAGACAAATATCTTTGCTTGAATTTTATCTTACTTTCGTCAATTGTACTATATCGGCCAAGGTTATCATTTTTTTGAAAATTTCTCCGTAAAATTTCAGTAAAATTTTTAACTATGTAAATTTTACTGTTGTCTTTGAACTCTTATTTTGGTCCCAATGAGCTATCAGCCAAATGTATAATATAAAAAATTTGAAGAAAACGATTTCTTGACATGCTGGAAGAAATAAATATATAATGGAATATTATATGTTTACACCAATAAAGTTTCATATTCAGCATGTTATTGATATCCATTAGAATAATCAACCCGAGAAATGACTCAATATCTTTTTTGCTCACATCTTTCCAGTTACTCATTTTCTTCGGATTGTTATTTCGTTCCTTCCATTTCCATAAATGTTTGTTTGATCAATGATCAGGCTTAAAATTTCTTCAGTAAAAAAGGTCCTAAAGACTGAACTTGGAGTTCCCTCTTTGAAAGAGATTAAGGTAAAATTGCCATCTACGATATAACTTTCATTGATTGAATGTAGCTCCTCTACATATACATTTAAATCGTCCTCAGAAAGTTCAAGCTCATCTAAATGATTGACTAGTTTATCGTAATCGAAATCGAAATCACTCTTGCTGCTATCATCACTGGTGTATGAATCATAGAACTCCTCGTTGACTTCATCATTTTCGTAGAATTCCATTTCTTTAGTTTTAATTGAATAAATTATATTAAAAAAAATAAAGAGTAAAAGTTCGAAAGAGAAATGATTTGCATTACAAATTCAAGAACAACGTAAATTCGTCAGAAAGAATGAGAATATATATATATGTATCGAATAAAGAATCAAAATACTCTCGAAAAACAAAGGGTTAGAGAAGAAGAGAGAAAGTATGACATTTCTGTATCTTAGCAGCCAAAACAACGGATATTTGAAAAGAATTTATATGATAGAAGGAAAGAAAGAAAAGTATGAGATGATAAATTCAGTTGTTTATGACCCTACATATTTAATAGCTTAATGTGAAATAACCATTTCTTTCTTTATTGAAAAATAGGTGAGTTAAAAATGATCCACCGGTTCTCAATATATATATAACTAGAGAGAGAGAATGAAAGAGAACAAGAGGATATATATGCATCCATGTATATGCTTTAATGCTTAAATATGGAGGATAAAACATGGAGACGAAAAGGAGAGATTAAGATGAAATGTGATACAAGCATAAATATCATAAGTACATAAAGACGTCTTTTAAAAAATTTTAGTCATTCTTAAAAGAATTCTTCATCAAAAGTTTGACATCGTTGTAATGCAGAAATCTCGTCGTCAAAATCCGGGTACGGCATTACGGCTCTAAAATATTCTCTTTTACATGACGATGCTCAGGGAAAGGATGTGAAAATTTCCTCGTTTCTTCGTAATATACTTGATTTTGTGCATTTTTCAGAATGCTTGGCAAAAATATCGAACGATATGTTAGTGGAATGTTTGATCATTTGCATGTGCATAGTTTCATACACGGAACGAACATATATATCTGAATGACCGTCGACTCGTCACAGAATTTACGAAGAAAAGACTGTTTATTCTAACATCTTCTCGTTGGAAACATTATAATTGATTAACTTTCCTCTTCTTTTTGCAGATTTCAAATAAATTGATCGCTCCAGACAATGGAAGCAAATTGTGTTTCAACAAAAAAGCTCGAGTACGGTCTCCTCATTCTTGGAAATGCTGGAACGGGCAAAAGTTACATTTGCAATATGATAATTGGCTATGAAAGATTCGAAACTGACTTTCGGAGAGAAGCAGTTACAACTACTGTAGAGTACCATCGAATTGATGCCGGACCAAGCGACCTTCTCATATACAATATTCCAGGGTTGATTGAATCTCATCAAGAAGAAATCGATCGAAACAAGAGAGAAATCATGAAAGCTTTCTACCAGTCTCCCATATCGGTTGTCATGTTTGTATGGTCACCGGTGGGTGGACGACCGCAGCCGGATGATATCATTGCCTTCAAAGCTCTCAAAGAAGCCTATAAGTTTTCGTCCAAATCTTTGATGTTTGTTGTGAACAATATACCGAGCAAACGACCACTAACATACGAAGGCAGATTTTTTGCGCTGCTTACAAAAATGCTATATCCAATTAGAATCTCATTGGAAGACATGTTTTTTCTCGATACTTTGAATTCTGAAGATAATGAGAAATTTAATGCAACACGTGATCGACTACTTCATTTCATCGCACAGCGCCATGAAAGCGAGCAAAAAATGCAAGCTGATATTATCGTGCAATCCAACGAACTTCGCATACTAAGAGAAGCTCTAAAAAAGATATATCTGGAGGCTGAAGAAAACAAACAAGTCTTTGAACTTCAAATCAAGCAAATGACAATGGTGTATGAAGCTGTCAGAAAAGACCAAGAGAAGATATACCAAGATATGATGTTCAAATTAGAAGTAGCAAAACAACAAGCAGCAGAAGCAGAAAAAGGTCATGAACTTACTGGTGTCGAGTTGGAAACTGTACATAAAGAAAAGAAAACAGGTCTCAAGAAACAATATCAGCAACTTTGGGAAAAAGTTGAAGATGAGAAAGGAATTTTTAAGAAAGTAGAGAAATGCTATAACATCGCAAGGAACGAGTTGCGTGTTCAATACAACAGCAACGAAGGCGATGAAGAGAAAAATTTCACGACACAGACCAGCACAATTGAGGACGAGCAAAAAAAGAACGAAAAATTCCATGGATATCAGATGAATAAGATTCAGAAGAAGCTCACTAAGATGTGCAATAAAAATTCTGATTCTAGCCTTCTCCGTCCTGCTGCTATCGGTGGTGGTATCGGTGCTGTTTCCGTTGGTACTCTGGGTGCTGTTGCTGGTTGTGCTGGAGGTGCTGTTGCTGGTGGTGCTGCTGGTATTATTCTCGGTCCTGGTGCTATTGCTACTGCTGCTGCTGGTGCTGCTGCTGGTTGCGCTCTTGGTGCCGCTGCTGGTGTTACTATTGGTGGTATTAGCGGTGCTATTGTTACTCTTTATAGGTCTCGTAAAAAATGATATCGTAGATTTCATTATGAAAGAAAATATTTATGGTCTCTACGTGACCATACTTTTTGCCACTATTGAATATGACGAGTCTTTTCGAGTGAGAGTGTTGGTGTGGGTGTGGGAGTATGGATGCGAATAAAGGGAACACCCACACCCACACCCTAAATCTTATTATGATGGTGTGGGTGTGGGTGTGGGTGTGGGTGTGAGTATGGGTGGGTGTGTGGATGTGGGTGTGAGCGCGGGTGTGGGTGTGGGTGGGTGTGGGTGCAGGTGTGGGTGTGGGTGTGGGCCTTCTCGACTGCATAGCCACACCCACACCCACAAACACACCCACAGCCACACCCACAACCACAGAC